TATATATATAATTATATTTTTAAATTTTTGAGAGTCACAATGCTTACTAATAATTGATTAAGAGGAAACAATCTGAAAGGAATTGATGATAATGGTCCTGACTTGATTCAAATCTGTCCCATAGCAGCAGATTGATACTTTAATTTTCAACTCTATAGCCAACATAATAGTATTGTATTGTACATTAATATGGATAAACAACAGAAAAGAAAGTAAAATGATGAGAAAGAAATAACAGAATATGATGTTTCTTGACATCTAATATTTTCAAAAATTGATGGATTTCTTAATCACTTAATTTTATATTTTCAATATTTAATACAGATGTCATTATTGAAGTAAAGTTATACTTTTGTACTTTGTATCAATAGTTCTATTTTATCAGTTTTCAAATAAACAATACAAATTTTTCAGCATATACTTAGTAGTGGATTTAGTAAAATTAACACCAACTGTTATCTAATTGTCGTTGTAATGAAAACATTAATTTTGAGTTTGAAACAAGTTTTAAAAACAAAAATTAACTCAAGCTGAGATAATACAACTGTCTGATAACATGTCTATTTCTATGTGACTGCATGCTGCATGTTTGTGTCTACATTTATCTGTGTCTTTGTTTCAATGTGAAACCAAAGATTTAAAAAAGTGAAGACAATAAACTTCTTAAAGCACCTGATAATAAGTGGAATAAACAGAGGAAGTATAAAATAGGAGTTTAATTTCTCATTAAAAATTTTTAATGAAAAAAATCATTTAATTAAAAGCATTTCCTACATTTTTTTTCATCTTTTGTTTCTTCATATAACGGAGATGCTTTATTCAAAGTTAGACATTGTTTATTCATAGAGTTTGTTTAGACTATATTATCTGGTGATTAAAATTTCTGATATATTATCTAATAATGTCTATATATATATTAGCCATAATAAATTTTTATACATTCTTTTGATAAGAAATTGCCAGGACAAAAATTTTCTTAAATTTTGTGAATTTTATATATTCTTGATGATAGTTGATTATCTAATACTTCATTTTAATTAAAACTGTAATGAAAACATTTTATAAATTGGAATTTATATTACATAGAAAAAATAAAAATGATAATTATTTAATTTTACTTATTAATTAATTAAAAAATTAATTTTATAAATATTGCTAGTTTGTGATTATGTGATCAAAAATTACAACTGAATAAAACTCTTATTCACATTTAAGGACAAGCAGCTATAATTACAGATAATTTTTTATTACATTGTGGTTAAAATATAATTTCGGAATTCTTTTGTATTTTCAATTCTATTTTTGGATATTTTTGGATAGTAATGTGTAAAATCTTATATTCATAAGACATCACAACTGTTTTCATCATACATCACATTTATGATTAAGCCACACTTAATGTTATCATGTTAAACAGCAGACTGACAAAGAATATTTGTAAAACAAATCATACTTTAGAATGGTTTTACAATAATACTAATAAATTTAATCATCATTGCATGGGTTGAATACAAAAAAGAAGTTGGTTTTTAAACACTTATATTTATCTTGCTTTGTGCCATGTCCTGAAATCTTGCAATTCAAATTTCATTGACTACTAATTAAGATAGGTATGCCCTCAAAGTTTCATCCTAAGTCTAAAGACAATGCACTTTAATGATGTTTTAGGGGAGTGGTCCTATACTGAGGTCCAAAAAAAAAAAAAAAAAAAAAAAGGATAAATTTATGAGTATTTTAGATGTTATCTTTGTCAGCAAAATTTACAATATTTTCTTTCTTCTTAGATAACATATCAGCCAAAAGAGTAACTTACAAAATAAATATTTCTCAAAATCTTAAAGCAAAATTACATTTTTAAACAAAAATGTGTCGTAAATTTTCAACTGGTGCCTTATTTTACATTTTTAAAGTCATCAAAAACAACCTCAAAATGGCAAAAAAATCGTGATGATGATGTTGTTGTTGTTATTTAATAGATCTGAACATAGATCACTGGTTGTTCATATTTTTAAAGTTGCAATAAACACTGTATATGTTATTTTTTACTGCACAAAAAAATAAAAATCACCACATTTCAAAAAACTTAAGCCACATGCTTCATCTTCTGCTTTAACATTTTTTCTATATTATTTTTTCCTTTTTTCAAAATTTTTTTTTNGGTTTTTAAACACTTATATTTATCTTGCTTTGTGCCATGTCCTGAAATCTTGCAATTCAAATTTCATTGACTACTAATTAAGATAGGTATGCCCTCAAAGTTTCATCCTAAGTCTAAAGACAATGCACTTTAATGATGTTTTAGGGGAGTGGTCCTATACCACAAACCTCCCACCCCGAAACCAATAAATACAGTATAACCAAACGTAGAATTTAAATCTGTGTGTGTGTGTGTGTGTGTGTGTATGGTGCACTCCACCATATACATTATAGCAATGTATATGGTGGAGTGCCCACCCCCAATCTTAAAAAAAATAACCAATAAAATAAATTTTTGAAATATATTAAAATTATTTCTATCACATAAGACTCTTGAAAAGTAGTATTATTGATATTCATAGTTCTACAGACATTCTGTGAAAATCGCCACTTATTTGCAAACATATCTTTTCAATAGAAACTATAATACAGACTAGAGAGAATTAGAACAAAAAAATTACAATTTTTACTGTAATAGTTTTTAATAAGCATAATGTCAGTGAAATTTCTACATCAGGATCAAAGAATCTACTTCTATTTTCTACTTCTATTGATATATCTAGGAAGTGTCTCTTTTAATCATTCTGTTGTTCTAGCTCAAGCTCTAGGCCATACTTGTTATCGTTGATGTCTCTGAGAAATTGTTGTATGTCTGGTTTTTCTTTCCATATGATCAAGAAGTCATTGAAATATTTATTTATCTATTTTTTATTTTTATGTGTATAGTTAGTGTATGCATATATTTGTACATTTTCAGCCTGTAGATTCTATTTATCTATTTCTGGACTTGTGCAATAGACGCTGAGAAAACTTTTAAAGTTAAAAATATTCTATAATTAGTTTTGTTCGTCATAAATCAAAAAATTGTTTGATCCTAATGAAGGTAATTAATTGACCAAAAACGTTAGATTACATTAATAAATTAGACTGTATGTTAAAGGTTGGTAAAGTGTAGTTATTTTTGAAAGTGCAGTTTCAGAAGAGTCTAGAATGAACTATTTTGGTCATTAAAAAAAAAAATTGTGGCCTTCTACAAATTTTTAAATACAATGGAACAGGCTTGTAGGAAAGTACATAAATATCAATTAAGATAAATTTCTCAAAAACATAAAGAAAGAAAAAAAAAATGGAATTCAATCATGTTACCAATCCAAACACAAATGTTTCTACAAAGGCTTTGCACAGATAGAATAATACCATAAATTACAATAACAGAGTTAAAACTTACAAAATCTCACCTATATAATATATAATAGAAATTAGTATTATATAGTTGGAAGGTATTCAACTAAACACAAACAAAACCTTGAAAAGTATTCAACTTATCACAGATATGTAATTGTTAATTTTTACATATATTTTTTAATTTAAAGTCAAACACAGAAAGTTTTACTACTAGTATAATATTTTAATGAAATAAAATTATAATGAATTAAGAAAAATAATTTATCATCTTTTGGATTTAATAAATGTTATATATTATTTAAGTCTTCCCAATAATTATTGAAAACATTTTAAATAGTTTCTGCAGTAGACCCAGTACATAATGAGGCAAGTTAGCATAATGAGAGATGAAACAGAATTGTATAACATCTGTATGAATTATCAACTATGGATTTGAATTTAAATCTAAATCTCCTTTAATGTAGACTGGCATTTTACCACAAGCATCTGACAAACTTGATTTTAGAAAATTAATTATAAAATATTGAAGTGTTTTGTTTGACATTATAAGTTTTGTAGTATGAAAATGAATGTATCAATGGCTTATGGAATAATTAGGAAAGCAGAATGACATAAAGAATTACTACTGTTTATATGTTTTGAAGTAGAAGTTTGTGAAATCAAAAAATAATAAACAGTTCAAAATCTGAAATATATAATACAGTAAGACCCTGCTTAACACTGATTCAATATAACGCGGTCTGCTCGAAGCCTAAAAAAAGCTAAAAATTTACACTGATTCAAATTATTGCAGCATTTCATTGATTCGATAATACAATTATTTATGAACAAAAACCAATCAGCAAAAGGTGGCAATTCATTGTAGTGCTTTACTTCCCTTAAACTATGTTTGTTCGATGCAATTTTGGAAAAAATATATCATCATGGATGCCATAGAAAATATCAACTTTACTTGGCAAAAATTAACTGATAAATGCATGAACAAAGTGTAAAAGAAGTAATGGCTAAAGGTATCTTGGATTCTCAAGAAAAAGAGCCTATCGCTATGTTGTTAGGTTGACCAAATTGAAGTAACACTGTCTTTTGAAGTAAAATTAATAACATACAATTATAAGTTTATAATATAAATTAACAAAAAACTACAAAAGCTTTACAAAAACAAGCAATTATTTATTGTGACATCATCACAATGCTGGACTTCAATTTTTAATTTATTTCATTTAAAATATATGCTCTCCACTTGAAATTAGTACTGTAGTGTCTTGTCCCCTGTACATCATACTTTTCCATTAGTAATGGAGTTGTGCAGTCATCTACCTTACTCCTTTGAGGAGAAAAGTTTTGAATTGAAATAATATGACTTCGTAATATGACAATCAGAAGTTCATATATAGTTAGTTAATCAGAGCCTCCTGCCCCTAAGGTTTCCATATCTAGTTTTGTCTTTCATCTATCTAACTCTGTTCTTGAGATTAAGGAAAGACAGATAGACAAATGAATGACAGTGGGAATTTATAGGTCTACAATTTTTCAAATTGCAGTTTAATTTCTTCAGGTTAAACTATATTTTTACCTGAAGAATATAAGTTGGTTTATCAAAAGTACTTCTAGTTTTTTGGTTAATTATTTTACATTTGTGTACAATGTTACATTTAACACCTGATCTTATTGTTCCTTACTGTTTTAAGTTTTTAGTGCATGTTGTTATTATTCAGTATAGTACAACAGCAGCTGCTACAAATATATGTCGTGTTTGAATAAAATTAATTATATTATTAATTTTCAACATGTCTATTCTTCTTTTTTTAAGCATTTCTGGAGATAAAAACATCATCAATATAATATAATAATAAAAATTACAGAACGCTTCATATAATTATTGAGATTAAATGAGAAAAATCCTAAAAAATTTTCTCATTTAATATTAACAATTATACACAATTCAATGAAACATAATAAAAAAATTAAAATTATTGATTAGGGGCTATCCATAAATGACGTCCATACTGGAAGGGAAAAAAGGAATTATGGCAAGTTGAACAAAGTAAGACAAAAGGGAGATGAACTTCAATGGACGTTCATCTTATTTCATTAAATTTTATACAGTTTATATATTTTATTATTCATAAAGAGATTAAGATTTTATGGAGTTGAGTTTTGTTGGATGACCAAAGAAGAGAGGGGTTATGGAAACTTGGATAAACTGGGACAATAGGAGATGGGGAGTAAAAGTTTCAAGAAAAATGTAAACATAATTTATGGACAGCCCTTCAGTTGAGAAAGCCTTAAGTTTAAAGAAAGGAAAAAATAATTATATACATTATTCTCAATATATTTTAATTTGTATTTGGAAATGGTGTATATTTATTAAGATTAAAAGACTGAAAATAAAATTATTTCTAGATCAACAATAAAAACTCTGTATTGATTGAATAATAATAATAAATATTGAATACATGCCACTTTGTTAGGAAATTCCTGAATACAGACACTGACACTTATTTAATTTTAGTTTTTGGTTGCTATGCCTTGACTCTGGTCTGGTATAGTACATAACCACTGGCGTGAATCGAGTATAATCTGCTAAATACTGTATAATAATAATAACTCTCCCATGGTCACTACCTGGTCACGGTGGAAGAGCTCAGTAATTTTACTGAACCATAGGGCAATGCAGGATGGAGCACAAGCTCCTGGTAGGGACACCCATGCCAGTAAGGTCTATGTGGAAGAAATGAAGCTAAGAGTGACCATCACATCCACATTCTGTGGAGATATTTACCATTGTAGTAATCAGGTTTAACCAGCTCGGACATCATCCGAGTTAACAAGATTCACATTTGCGGGTTAGGCAGAGACTCACGTTCGAAAAATAGGCAACAGTCTCCTTTGGCTATCTCTGGTAAAAGCAGCGCCAGCCCAAGCACGGCTACTGCAATGCCCTCAATAGATGTGAGGAACCAACCTAGACCTGATGTTTCTGTGACAATGCATCCACAAACCACAAAGACTGAAAAATGGATGAAATAGACAATGGAAATGAACGAGTTTATCATCTGTACTTACTACACCATCACAAAACTTGAAACAGACATCACAGTGTACAGACAACAACTACATCATAGATTTACACAATATCCTCACCTCACTATCACCGAAGGCCATTACATTGAATACACACGATATTGTTAAGAAATTCTTGAATACAAACACTGACATATTTAATTTTTGTCTTGTTTTGGTTCCTACACCTTGACTCTGTGGCATAGTACACAGCCAAAGGTGTCAACCGAGTATAACTCACTAAACCCAATGTAATAATAATAATACAAGTACTTTAAATAAAAGAATTTACATTTTTATGAAAAATTATTATTCTCATTACATCAAGATTTAACATGATTTACCTGAATGCTGCATTCTAATAAACAAACTGTAATGTTTCAATTTACTTATATCTCAGGTGACAAGTCAATGTTTGTTTGTTTTATTGCTAAATCAGCTCTTAATATCTCCAAACTTAACCATGAAACTGGAATCAAAATTAGCTCAGCATATAAATTTTACATTTAACTGTCATTGGAAATCTAGGGCAAATGGTTACCTTATCCTATAATCCTTTATACTTATATTTCTTATAATACATTAAGAATTATTTATTGTATATTTATTCACTATAATCAAATGCTTTGCTCTAATTGTATTTTTATGTTTTTTATGGTCTATAAATACACTTAAGAGACCAATCAGAGTTAACAATTAACCACGTTGACTTGATCATGTAATTGATTAATTCGCGTTTTAATACGATTAAATTTTGTTAAAAAAAAAAATATATACTCCACCGTTAAAGATTTTTCTCTTCTGCATGTTAATCGCAATTAAAACAGCGAAATTGATGCTTTAATTTGTTGTGTGTTTATAATTTCAAACCATTCTTGACAACGCGGAAGACGCCATTTTCTCGTAGTAACGACGTGACCGGAAGCCACGTGACTGCTTCACGTTTACACTAAAATACGCCAACTGTATTCAAATTTAACTATGAAATTAATATTTAGGTATTTATTATATAAATAAGTTAATGTTTACGAAAGTATTTGACGCCAGAGAAGTGTATCACGTGACTAATGCATCAGGTAGTCTTCCGACAATTGGCAGTTGTGACGTAACGACACATTCCGCGAAAATAAATAAGTCGCATAATATCGTGGATTGATCAAAATTAAGCGTTTTAAATTGCAATTCCTCACCACGTGGCCACTCGGTTGAACATTTTGAATAAAGAATATTAATATTTTCGCAAAGTTTGCGTTTTTTTGGAGGAAAAACATTTATAATGGAAATTATAGTTATTAATTTCTTGTAAGAATGTGTTAAGAGATTAATTTATAACCGATTATTATTTTGTTTTACGAAATTTCTGCTGTCACTTTGTTTTATAATATTCACGAATCATCGTATAATACATTAAAAACAAACCTCTCATTTCTACCTGATCAGACATACCGCGAAATAATTAGCGCCCCCTTATGCATTTTAATAATGCGATATTAATTTAATTAAATCGAATTTGGTACGGTCTAGAATAATTAATACACGGCGTGGATTAACTAAAATTAATTTAACATTGAAATAATAAACCGACGCTTCATTTGGGATCGAGCATATATTACGTAATAAACGTTTCGATAGGGCGGCGTCACGATCGTCCAGTCGGCGAAATTGCCGTGAGTACGCTACCACGTGTGTATTATTTGACATTAGAGAGGTTGCGGCCGACGTTTTCAACGCAGAAACGTGTACGTCGGACGTTCAGCTCCGCCTTCCTGTAAGCCTAGAGGTTTGACAATGGCGTTTGGAACGTCAGTGGAATCATGCTCGACGTTCCAAACGCCATTGTCAAACCTCTAGGCTTACAGGAAGGCGGCGCTGAACGTCCGACGTACATGTTTTCGCGTTGAAAACGTCGGCCGCAACCTCTCTATTAAGGCCTACCCAAAATCAAAGTATCTTATGGTTCTGTCAATTTTGCTATAACTGCAATGTCTAAGATATAACTGCAATGTCTAAGATATGGATTGCATGCAATAGTGAACGAAAGCGTACATCCGGTCTAAGGCATTTTACAATAATACAGAAAATTCATACTAAAAAATACCACTGTGATGCTGCAAACAAGAAACATTTTATTTGTACAAGATACTCATTCTACACAGAGACTAGCGATGAAGGACATGGTATTCAACGTGGTCCTGCTTCCGAAGGTGTAAAACTAAAAGAATAAAGAAGTTCTAACATGGTCACAAACTTCTTGCGCTTTGATAGCTCCACTCATAAATCTGCTCAAGATTGTTGTAGGAGCCAAGATCTCCGGAAACTCGAATAAGCAGCACAGTTAATTGAAACGATTTCGTACGTTGTTATTGAAATGGGAATGAGAAATACAACTGATCTATGGTGGATATTATCACTTTAATTGTCATGATTAAATATTAATAAACAGTAAGTTTTGCACTTACAACAACTTAGAAATTCATGAAATATTTTTAAAAATACTGTTTTTGTTATAATAATTTGTTGTAGAGAAGTATTGTAGTCCAAATGATAGAGCCTTCTGCAATTATATAAAAAAAAATGACTATTAATCAGTTATAATCATCTGCAAATGGTGAATTCGATAGTGAAACGCAAAAAATAGGTTACTTGCCGCTATCTTAAATTACTGTATAGATAAACTTTCGTAAATTTCACTGATAAATTTTGTCAATTTTGTAAATTATAAGAAATATGGTTGCTTCTACGATATATTTCAATGTATTTATGAAATAACTTTTGTCTTTGTGTAATTTCATTCCCGATTTCCTCGTACTTGATGAAAATACTTATACACATTATGAATACATAAAATTTGCAATTTAATCAAATTGTACTAATTGATTAGTTGTTTTTTAAGTGTATATTTGTAAATGTAATGTATGATCATGTATTTTTTAAGTCATAACCGTTAATATAGATATGAATACTTTTATATTAATGAATGAGCAAAGACGAATATTCTTTTTTATGTCTTCGTTGTACTTAAAATTATGCTAACGTTAATATATTAAGGAAGGCCAGACAGCCGGACGACAGTGGGCATATATAGATTTACAATGGGTTGGAATTGCAGCCCAACAACAATATAGAAACAACAGTTTCAGAAGATTCTACCATAGCTCGATTTAAGTCGAATCCTACTCAAATCGAAATGGTTTATGAGCGTCTTCGAACATCCTAACTCTATAAGAAAATGGATTACACCTCGTCTCTGTGGGCATGAGTGAAAGACTACAGACAAAAATCAAAATGGTCCGCTTCTATAGACACTTCGAAATCGAAATTCTGTCAAAATATCGATATTTTTAGCATTAAACTGAGACGCAACGCAACAATAGAATTTCGACAATTGTCTGTTGCTTTGTTCGAATGCGTTTGTTTCGAGTGTTTTCGGAGTTTTGCTGCAGTTTTTGCGATAATTTTAAGTAAGTTTAGTCCCTGACCGTTCTACATTTAGGTATTTTTAACATTGCTAGGTACTAAATCACAATTAGCAGCGATAATTTTGCCACAACGAATATTCCATTACAACTTTATATTCATTTTTGTTTAGAATTTTTCTTATACTTAAAACGGTCATTTTCTAAATCTTTCTGTCGTATTTACATTATGATTTTTTAATATTCTCTTAATTTAACGTTCGTTCTACAATATTTAATACTCGGTTTTTATTGTTTGCAGGATGGATAATTTTAAAGCGCTAAAGAATTGGAATATTTCTAAGGGAGAGAGTGCGGAGGAAAGCTCCTCGACATCAGGATCGTCGTCCTCTTCGATTCGAGTGATTCGCGTGCGTCCGAAAGAAGTGCTGGAGGGTGCGAAGGAACCCGACAAGAAACGAGTGATTGTCACCATTCCCGATGAGAGCACCTCGTCTGTCATCGACTACCTGGAACAGAGATATCCAGAAGTTCCGGAATGGTCGGTGCAGAGAGAGGCACGCGAGGAACGAGTCGAAGGGGAGTGTAAATCGATCCTGAAAAAGAGGAAAAAGAAGCCTTGGTGGAAGAAGATTTTCTTCTTCTGGAAGAAATAAATCTCCGAGGTCTTCTCACCGGATGTGACTTTTCCCCCGATTGTGACTTTTTTACCCGGATATGGACTTTTACCTGGCTATGACCTAATGACCGGACTCGACTTTATTCATCGGATGTGACTTTTAATGGCGGTTTGGCGTCTTCCCTTTCCTGCTGGGAATTTTTGGAATGATACATGTCCTTCGTCATCGCTTACGAGGGACGTGTTCTTCCACTTCAGTTAATTAAAGTCGACGGTGACAACTTAGCACCGTCTTTGGTCGTTTGAAATCTCTCAACTGACGATGAAATTCTGACCGGAAAATAATGGATTTTCGCCAGCAACGTGCGTGTCAACACTGGACACCCGAATGAAAACAAAAGGGAACTATCGCAGTTAGCATATGTCTAAGCCACGATTATAATTATGTCGAACAATTAAACGTGTATATAAACTTTTACTTAATAAAACTTTTTACATTTATATTCATTGATTACGTGTATCTGTTTAAATATTATATCTGCACATTTTATTTCTGGACTAATTTATAATTAAAGTTGAAATAATCTTTCTAACAATTAAACCGAAAGGCAGAACAGAAGAAAATGTACACGATTCATAACGAAAGAGAAATATAAAAAGTCATTTTAAAAACTTGCGAATTTCTATCGATACAAAAGCACGAAATAAAATGCTATAAAACAGAGATTATTAAACTGAAGTGTGTCTCTGCGGGGACTTTGTTAAGAATAATTCTCGAACTTAATATCAACTTTATAACAGAAAAGTTCTCAATAAATGAAATTATAAAGACAATTTGTTGAGGTGTTTTAGCTTAACGCAACAAACAGGCAAACTTTAATTAATTAAAATCACGAAACATCATCAGCATTAAAACCTAATAACTTTGCTATGTTACAATTACCGCGATTTAAACATTTATTTGATTTGTTTATGAAAAAAGGTAAAGTATAAAACGTTAAAGTATAAAAAGGTATAAAGGTATAAAGGTAAAGTATAAAAACACCAAAAACCTGTAAGTTTTGTTCGTGTGAAATATCGTAAGTTCTCGTTCGAGAAATATTTAAACACAGAAACGAAAAAACGATATTATTTCTTTATAAACCATTTATTTTCAAAATTCTTAAAGTTGCAATTAAAAAAATAACCAGCACTTATTTATTGTGACACGGTCACAATGTCGGGCGGCAATTTATTAATCATACTTTTAATTTAATTTAAAATATATGCCGTTTACCTCGAATTACTACTGTAGTGTCTCGCCCCCGTACATCATACTTTTCCTATCAGCAATAGAGTCGTGCCTGTCATCTATTTAACTCCTTTCAGGGGAAATGTTTTGAATGGAAATAACGTAACTTCCGCCTTGCATCGAACGTTCATATATACTCCTAATCTTTTCATATCTGATCTCGACTTTCATCTACCTAACTGCGTTCTCGAGATTAACAAGAAATTTAATAAGTATTTTTTTACTTAAGAGTAAAAGTATTTAATAAATTGTTTCATGTGTATATGATTTAAAAACTTGGTTCCGTGTTTTTTTATTATTATTTGTTTACGACAACACGACACACTTGCTATCTGCCGAAAAGGATGCCTTCCGAGAAAACATTGTGGATAACTGGCCTCTATATTAGAACCAGTTCAGAGTTTATCTTTTTCCACTTGTCAACACCGTTGCTCAGTATAATTCTTCTGGAAAAAGAATAAATTCCACATATTTATAGAATTTGGGCTCTCTAAGCTAGATTCCATATATGTAACTATGCAAATCTTATGCCTCGTAAATTGTATGTCTCATAAAGGCCTCGAATCTAGTGGCTTTCAGGGAATTTAAGTTTGCTATCAATTTGACGAGAGTACTGTACATGATAAGTGGTAATTTCTTTGCAAATAAAACTCACACGGATATTCAATATTCTATTTGCTACTTTTCATACATTATAGTATTAATGCAAGTATAACATACACGTTTAATTCATTAAAATTTTTTACATTGCTTATCTTTGTTCTTTGTTGTTGTTAGGTGGCGTGTACAGTACGTAGCATCCAGTGTCGAAAATTCTCAGATAATCAAGTCTTCCTACTGGTCTACCATACCATAATTCATAAGGAACTTGTTCTGAACTGAAGATTTTCCAGTGCGATTCGAAAGATATACGGCAGTTGTTGCATGCTTCTGCCCACAATCCGTTCGGTAATTTGATTGGATTCAACATAGAACGTGCTGTTTCCATAACGGTACGATTTTCGCGTTCATCTGCACCATTTTGATCAGGTGTATAAGGTGGAGGAATCCATTGTTCTATCCCTCTGTTTGTGAGCAATTCAGCAACTCTGTTGTTGACAAATTCTCTACCTCCATTACATCTGAATTATTTGACAACATGTCCATTTGTTCTAGTTTCATTTAAAAATTGCTCAAGCACATCACATACTTCGCTATTTTGTTTCAAAAAGAAAATTCGTCGAAACTTACTGAAGTCATCCTTGAAACATACCTAGTAACGTGCTTCTCCTAAAGATTCGGTGGACATTGGTCCATTCATATCTGAATGGATCAATTTGCCAGTAACTGTTGGACGATTCATTCTTTGCTTAAATGGTAGTCTATGCATTTTTCCCAAAGCACATCCATCACAGAATTCTTCTTTGCTGTTCATTTGCTTCAAAACATCCTTTACGTACTGTTTACTTTGATGACCAAACATTTCATGGTACTGTACACTTGTGGAGTATCAGACGATGTCATCAAATTCACCCGAATGTTTTTATGTGGTTTTTCAACACGTATATCGAGCATGTACAGACCATTTTTCATGTAACCAGTCATAACAGTGTTCTCACCGATTTTGACTCGAATTTTAACACTTCTGTCATGGATACTATCCTGTGGCCGTTCGATGCTGCTGCTTTGACGGAAAACAAGTGGACACTTGCATCAGGGACATACAAAACATTTTTCATTTCAGCATTATACCAGATATTGTTTAGTCAAACTTGAATCCTTACTGTTCTTTGACCATGCACATACATACATCACATTTTGTTTTCCGAGTGAGATTACTTCAGGAACAGCAAATTCTCTATACGAGACGAAGTACAGTATTGTTTGTTCGGGGTAATATGCTTTGTTGCGTCATTATCACAATACCATTTATTTGCATCAATGTAGTTTCCAATCGACGAGCCCATGACATGTGAAATGAATACATTTGCCACTCCGTTGTTTATTAGTCTCGACATCTGTCGTTTTCTGCAGACACACTGCTGTCCAATGAACCAATTATTTGCATTTGTTACATGGAAATTTTTGTTATGCCCGTTCCACTGGTATTTTTGTTTTCCCAGAATTCTGTTTCTTTTTATACTTGCCAGAAGCGACAAACGCATTTGTTACGGTTGTGTCTTGATCACGCAGTTCAATCGTGCAGTTTTTCAATGAGTAAATTCAAACTTTGATTTTTTGACGGAATAGTGTTCAAAAGGTCTTTGAAATTATCATAGTCTTTTCCCAATGTAGATAAAATTCGGCTGTTTAATATTCTTTCAGACAAAATATTTCCTTCGTGTTTCGTTAATTAATCGTTTAAATCCACAAATAACTTTTGCAATTTGGCAACATGTGTGCTAATGTCCTCTTTCTCATCACACTTAACCCGAAAGAAGGCTTCAATTAACATGTTCAAACGTTGCGTATTGCTGCGCTCAAATCGCGCACATAATTTATCCCAAATTTCTTTCGCGTTGTTGCAAGTCAACACGAGCTCAGCAACTGGTTTATTTAGCGTACTTGTTATCAAACTTGACACCCTTACATCGTCTTTCTGCCACTCAGTGTATGTTGCCTTTTGTTCATTTGTTGGCTTTGTTGGTAACTCAACACGTACACGCTTTCCGTTAATAATATCTTCTAATCCGTATGAACGCAACGCCATAGAAACGTGCCATTTCCATTTTGCCCAGTATTCAGGCCCTTCAAATTTATCTACATTTACATTGTAATCCCCGCTTAAAACCATATTCCTTCTGTTCATTCTCCTTCGCACGTATTCAACCAAGTATAACTTCAGAGGCGCACCACAATGGTCTCTTTCATTCAAAACTACTTTCCTTATCTTCATGTGGACTGGGCCATAGCCTATTACTTTTTATTGAAATAAACAACGTTAAACATGGACTTCACGAGAGAAAGACATAGCCGATTTGCATGCGATTTGTTTACACAAAGAAACACGTTAACTGTTCTGCTATGGGGCAGGTGGAGCCTTGTCATATTTTTTTCTTTTTATTATAAGTTAGAATTAAACTGACAGTAGTCAGATAGGCATGAAGCTGGGTCTATTGAATCAAATTGAGTTAAACAGTACACACACAATGCAGATCATGGGAAAGAGATTTGTGGGGGAAAATTAGTTGACATTTTCAACAACAGCGTAAAACATGGCACTGCAAGGATGACAATTGTGAGTGGACAAAATTTTATAAGAAAAAGTAAAATTACATTTTACACATCTAAGGTATGGTCTCAATGCAGGATTTTTCTTTGGTGACATATTGCAATTGTAAAACAGTGTTATTCCCGGCAGCGCATAACATTCAAAAAGAATTTGGAAGATGCGTCACTACACTGACCTTCTGCTCCAACAGAGTACACACATAGTCCTGATAAATACCATCTTTCAAATAAAGCCCATTGCCAGAAATTTACATTTTTTGACTGAACAGTAAGAGTTTCCCCAGTAGAGAAAATTTCAACCAATCGTTTACCTTTACTGCACATCTCTTCCCCATGATCTTCATTGCATATGTACTGTACCAAGTGTCAAGCCAGCTCTACAGATATCTGAGTACCATCAGTTTAATTCTGACCATCTTGTGTAATAGGAAATGTTAATATAATCTACAGATTATTGCAAACAAAGTACACAAATTTAAAAAAGAACAAAGTAAAATAGAACAGAAAACATATTTTTCGGTCATTTAGTTCCAACTTAATTCAAGAAAAATTCAAAGAACACTTTAAAACTTTATTATATTGATAGTAGTCAGCATTATATATCACAAGAACATATGAAAAGGGATTTGATTAATAACGAAACGGAAAAATATTGCATAACTTATTTTTCATTATTACAACATTCAATTGTATGTAATTTGTACAATTGTTATGAATATATTTAAATACTTTACATAGAATAAGGAACACTTAAAAATGGATAAACATCACAAAATCATGATTCATGTACACATGAATAAATAATAAACAAAACAAGAAATATACAATGGCAGTGATTCAGTCTTTTTTTTTTTTTTTTTTGATTTTAGAACCCAAATTCTATTATAACAACATAACTTGTACTACTATATCAATGATAAAAATAATAATAAAATTATATTGAGCCATATGCATTAAAAACCTTGCATAAAGTCTTTGAGATCATCACAAAAAATTTCTCATAATTTCTTAATATTTTTTAATTTTAAAATTAATGAAATGAAAATAATTATGCTTATATATTGATCCCATTTCCCTTGTAAATATGGCACATTTGGAGATGGTGCAATAATGTTTCATTGGTATGTATGTTTAACATTTACAAAAAACATAATTAAAAAAAAAAACTGCATTGATACAATGCAAGACACAGATAAGATATTATATACAAAAGATGCAATATGTAAAAATTGTGTGCATTATTTTAGAAGTGAATAATTTCTATATAAATATTAAATCTAAATCCACTATACATTATGCTGTATCATAAATAATTTTTCTACAACCATATTAAGAATACAAACCCATAACATTTTAAATGAAATTTAAATCACATTCCTGATTTTATAAAATGTCATATTTAATTTGCTAGCTTAAACAAAACACTCAAAATAAACTTATGTGATATTTTTGCTTCCAAAGAGAAAATAAGAACAATTTATTGAAAGTTATAAAGCCAACTTTTATAAAATTTTTGGAAAAATCTTGTGTATAAATATACTATTACCTATAATTTTATTAATTTTAAAAAACACTATCGTTAATTGTCCATTTCGACAATTTCTTCGCATATATGAATGCTAGGATCCATTTCTTCTACTTCAACTTCGAAGTACAGAGATTCCGATTTTGAATCGTCAAACGTATCTCTGGAATTATTCATAGAATCCGAAATAAACATAGTTCGCCTTACAAGACCTAATGCATTTAACATATCAGGATTTCCTACAAAAAAAAAAAAAATAAAATAAAAATAATTAAATCACTAGCTACAAAAATTTAATAATTCACAAAAATCATACGAACTTTCTTTATAATCAAGACATGAGAATTCTGTGTGATCTTTGGTATCGTCATCAATTGCTGGTGAAGCTTGACTGTTTTCATTCATAATGTCTTGCACAGGAGACAAAGATAGTTCTTTAAATTTAATGTTGAAACTTCTATTAACAGTAGAATGATTATCATCTTCGTTATAATCCATACTTTCTGAATCTTTGAATCCTTGATTTTTTTCTGTTTTGATCATCTTTAAAAATGACTGAGAGAAATCCGACTCCTTAGTGTCTTTATCAAAATATCTGAATTGGTCCACCGACTTTTTAATGACCGTAATCATGCACTTTGTAGAAGGTGTTATCTGACAAGTTATCTTCTTACAGTTCACTAAATGGTTAGCTAAAAATTAAATATAAAACATTGTATTACTTCCCTTTTTTTAAAATTTAGATAAAGTGCATTTAACAGGAATTTTTTTAATACATACCTATTGAATTACCTTCAAATGAAGAAAATCCACATTTGCATTTCATAGGATATTTTAATAAAACAGGTTTTAGATCCATTGCCATATTCTTCCCAGATGTATGGAGTTTCGTATGCTTATAAATCATGTGATCTACGAAAGCTTTATGACAATTTGTCGAATAGGGACAACAACCACAAATCAAAAATCTCCTGGTACGAATAAAATAAATGTTAACATGAACTTTTACATCTGTGTGGAATTAGCATTATTACATTTATAAATTAATTTTAATATTTACCCAAAATGTCCAAGTGCCATAGGACAACCGCATTCACAGCAGAGGTACGATGGCTTATTGTTATATTCCATATAAGTGGAATTTAATTTGTTATTTAACTGTTTGATAGATTTTTCTGCAGAAACTTCACAGTTTGCATTGTTTAATATAATTTCTGAATTATTTGGATTTGATATTCCTTCTAAATATTCTTTGGAAGGTGCCACAAAGGTGGATTTAATTGAATGAATTCCTAATAAAATTAAATCATTATCCAATTATAAAATAATTATTTATAAATAAGTAAAAATGCATTTTTATTACTTCAATACTGTAATGTCTACTAAAAATCATAAAAAATACAATATAAATCATAAAAAATTTATGACTAAATTATAATAAATTTAGTCTTAAATTTCTGTTATTAATTATATTGCCATTTACTAAAATCAAATACAGTCCTGCTGCAAGTAGAATAGTTAAGTGACATAGTATATAATTTTCACAGTTTTATAAATGCAGTTTACAGTTAAAAAAAAACAAAAATTAAATAACAATAATACAGAATTCAGCATACAGTTTACGAAATAAGCATAATAATATTAAAAAAATTAAATTAAATAGTTAAAAAACTAAGTTCTAAATATTATGTTAATTTTACTTCAAACATACTTAATGAAAATCTGAGTTAAATAAAATTAATAAAGCAAATGAAAAAAATAAAAGTATTTTTTTCTAATTAAGATTAAATGTAGCTTCTAAAACAACAAATTTTTGATTCTTGATACACTTTTATTTACACTACACTATCCGGAACCTGTAACAGGTGCGTGACGCATATATACTGTATATCACTGTTGACAAACGTTTTCGAGCAATCTCTTTGCTTTTCTTCAGGTCAACTGGAATTCCCTGGACAGAGCGTATTCTATTTGTTGGGATCGGGTGTCAATTCCAACGGGGTGGGTCTTTTCTGACATGCACAGTCGTGTGGTGGGGGAGGAAGTGGTAGGTTGGCATCTAACAGTAATTGCCAGGCCAGAGACAGTTAGCTCTTCTTTCCGGTTAATGCATGTGGTTAGCCGGCCGGCGTTGTAGATAGCTGTAGCCTCTAGCCACCTGAGATGTTCTTGGTGGGGTGTATTGATGATAACAGTAGCTTTTTTGAATCACGCTTCTACTTCGGGATCTGACACATACGTGGCCAGGGCTGTGGTGAGTCTCCCGTGTCAGATATCCGCCTGGTGTTCACGTATGCAGGTGTTCGAGGAACGTTTGGTAGAGCCAACGTATAATAAGTCTTCGTTCTGTCTGTTGTCCCTGATTGGGATAGAATATATTCTGGGGAGTCTGGTGCGATCGGGAGGGTCTTTATCATTCCATAATATACAGAAAATCGTGGGACATCTTCCGTATGCTAACTGTATCCCATGTTCCCTGGCTATCTTCTTATGTATTGTCTTAAGGTATGGGTTGAATGTGACGGGGACTCTTGTTGAGCCGTCTTGCTGCGGGTCGGTAGCATTACTTGCGGACAGGGCGTGTTTCAGGCGTTGGTATCGTTCTACTAAGCGGCGTGTCATGTTCGGGAACCCGTGCTCGGTTGCTATCCTCCTGATGCGGGCTAATTCAGTTGTCAGGGCCTGCTTGGTGGATGAGTGCGAGAACGCCTTTTCTACTAGAGCTCTAAAGGCTGCCTTATACAGGAAAGGATCACAATAATCGGCTGGTATGTACGTAGGGGTGGCTGAGGGTTTGTGGTTTACAGAGCTCTAGTAGAAAGAGTGTTCTTGCATTCATCCACCAAGCAGGCCCTGACAACTGAATTAGCCCGCATCAGGAGGATAGCAACCGAGCACGGGTTCCCGAACATGACACACCGCTTAGTAGAACGATACCAATGCCTGAAACACGCCCCAACCGCAAGTAATGCTACCGACCCGCAGCAAGACGGCTCAACAAGAGTCCCCGTCACATTCAACCCATACCTTAAGACAATACATAAGAAGATAGCCAGGGAACATGGGATACAGTTAGCATACGGAAGATGTCCCACGATTTTCTGTATATTATGGAATGATAAAGACCCTCCCGATCGCACCAGACTCCCCAGAATATATTCTATCCCAATCAGGGACAACAGACAGAACGAAGACTTATTATACGTTGGCTCTACCAAACGTTCCTTGAACACCTGCATACGTGAACACCAGGCGGATATCTGACCCGGGAGACTCACCACAGCCCTGGCCACGTATGTGTCAGATCCCGAAGTAGAAGCGTGATTCAAAAAAGCTACTGTTATCATCAATACACCCCACCAAGAACATCTCAGGTGGCTAGAGGTTACAGCTATCTACAACGCCGGCCGGCTAACCACGTGCATTAACCGGAAAGAAGAGCTGACTCTGTCTCCGGCCTTGCAATCACTGTTAGATGCCAACCCACCATTTCCTCCCCACCACACGACTGTGCATGTCAGAAAAGACCCACCGACGGAATTGACACCCGATTCCAACAAATAGAATACGCTCCGTCCAGGGAATTCCAGTTGACCTGAAGAAGAGCAAAGAGATTGCTCGAAAACGTTTGTCAACAGCGATATACAGTATATATGCGTCATGCACCGGTTACAGGTTCCGAATAGTATAGTGTAATGTTCACCCCGGTGCTGAGAGTAGAATAGTTTCTGTATTCACTTTTATTTAGTTAAATACAATTTAAAATGTAAATTATCTATAGATTCAGGTTTTGATCTGTCAATATTTTATCTTTAACAAAGTTTAACTTTAATAACAACTGTATTATCTACTTTAAATGTTTTAGAAATTCAAGTATCATGTATGCATTATTCTGTTTCATCTTTGATTTATTTCTCATAAGAAAGTCAATTTTATGTTTCTGACATTAGTTATACGATAAAACTTGCATAATATTTTATATTTTAATCTAAACCTTATAATTTAGTCACTTGTTGAATGGATTGCTTTCAGAACTTAATTTGATTATATAACTAAAAACATATCACATACTGATAATCAGGGCTATTTTTCAGCTAGAACGTGCTATTTATTATATTGTACTGACAGATAGCATAAAAGGTATTGATAGCTGCTCCTACATACTGACAGATGCTTAGTAAGAAAAATTCTATATGTTTGGGCAAGAAGGCTGGTGACTAGGACAATAAAAATGATGAAATAAACTGGGCAAATCTATCAGCCACAACAAAAGCCATGGACTGATCACAGCCTATATGAAAAGCAAATGGGATGGGGGATGTCACTTTTGTCAGAGACCATCTTTCTGCAAACAGACAATATTCTGTCACCACTATATTTGTGTCAAGATGTGAAGTACGAAGAAGTATTAATAACAATACTTTAAATAGGGAAGATAAAAACTCAGTTAAAAGGGCACCATGTAGCAACTGACAATCCAAAACAAGAAATTGGGGAAAGAGTGCAGACAAGAGATATACAAAAAATTTAGAAAATACTATAAATACTACAATGTAAATGTATATATATATAAAGTTATTGTAGTATTAGACTAGTTTTTCATTACAGTTAAATTTTTCTTAAAAGAGAACTTTATTTTTGTCACCATGTATGCATACTGGCAGTAATTTTCTTAGAAAAAGAGCACTGCTGATAATATATGATATATTTTATTTAAAATTTATATCAAAATTTAAAGAGCAAACAAGATTGTTACCTTTCTTCACTATTAGGAAAAAAAAAACATAAAAGTGATAGTTACATCATGAATATAACTCCTCTTAAATATGAAGTAATCTAAAAAATATTCTGATTTAAGATTATTCTTTACATATATATTATTTTAAACTTATATATCTTTGATCATTTAGGGTTACAAAAAACGATGTATGCAGAATTCCAGCAATATATATTATGTTTGCCAATATTTTACTATTGACATTATAATCTGATAAATATAACTCATCAAAAATTTATATTTCTTCACCTTATATGTTATGTGAAATCTCTCATCTCACTCCATTATAAACAGAAGAAAGAAAGATCCAAATAATAATGAATCTCATTGCAATTAATTCAGAATACTGTTTTTACCGATGAAATAAATCTCTTGCAATAAAATTATATAATCCTGTAAACAAAGATGTTTAATTTATGTCCATAGCCATCGCTATGAGTATTAATAAATTAAATTAATTAAGAATATAATAAAACAGGTAAAATTCTTATACCTTTTCGATTGACTAATACTTTATGATCATACATTCGATGTTCTTTCAGTTCTTGAACACTAAGAAAAATCAAGCAACATTTCGAGCATTTTCTTGTTACTGACTTCAGCTGATGCTTGTGTATATGATAAAAATAATTCTGAATAAAGCCTAATCCAACATTAGAAAATTTTATGTGAAAAATTTTTAAGCAGTAATGACACATCATCTTATCTGTTCCATAATGAACCTAGAATAAAAAATAAATAAAATAAAATTACTAAATGAAAATGTTTTTAAAACAAATACAGGGTCTTCTGAAAACAATGCTACCATTTTAAATTATTGTAATTATGTTAATTATTATCTGTGAATATTGTAATATACATTAAAACATTGGAAAACTTCCAAATTTCACATTTGCCCATTATAATCATTCAATGTGTGTACCTTATGTTGCATGGCATACACTGCATACTTCTGATGCAATAATTAACATATTACAATAATTTAAAATAGCTTTCATTTTAGAAGACTAGAAGACAAACAGATGACCTTCATAAATTCTAGCAAAATGGTTTAATTAGATAAATCTTTTTGGCCTGCTTAATAAGCCAGCTTCATATCATACATCATAAACCAAAAAAATATGACAATCTATGTTTATGATATACAACTCGAAACTAGCTTATTAATGAGGTCTAAAACATTCATCCAATTAAATTATTTTACTGGAATTTATGAATTGTTATAACAAAATTTTTAAACCTTACATACTATCAGATGAAGAAGATACATAACATTATTTTATGTAGAATCAGTTTTAATATTAACCACTCAGCAGTGACCGACAGATATATCCATCAAGGGCGATTGTGTGGAAATGGTGAATGACGAATATATCCACAAAATTCTTTTGCGGATATCACCAAAAACTACTGCGAAAAAAATTCACAAAAAAAGGAATATGTAACAATAAAAAAAAAAAAAAACTTTTCTTTACTAGGCATAACTGTTTACAAAATATTTTTCTGAAACAGTAATGAGAAAAAACACGTGGAATAATACTTAAAAAATTTCTCACGTTTATTCTCCACTACATAGGGATAGCACCATACCTGACTAACTCACTGCTGAAAGGTTAAGTCAAAGAAATTCCTAGTGAGAGTAAGTAATAAAATAGTTCCAAATTAATGTGGAAATTTTGCTAATTTGTCAACAATCTACTCATTTATGTCAACAATCTACAGTATATCTATCTTATCTGAACTTTCCAATATAAATAAATTAGATGAAATTGTTATCTATTATCTCCCTCATTATCAATTAAATTATTATAAATACCTCATTAAAATGCAATATGACATCTTGATGAAATGATGAACGAAAATGACAAAGCTGACAACTATACGGCATTTCGTATTGTATATGAAAGTTTTTCATGTGTGATAATAAATTTTTAAATTGAATAAATTCTTGGTTACATATTCGGCAAACCAATGAATCCTTTTTTAAGTGAACCTGTAAATTGATAAACAGTTATCAAATATATATATATATAAGTAAATAAATAAACTTCAAAAAAATTAGCAATACTTACAGCTTCAATATGACATTGCATACTAAAAGGTGTTTCGAAATCACGAAAACAATATTTGCATTGGGTAAGGTCACTTAAAGCAGGTTTGCACTGACGATGTATTTCAATATGAGCATTAATATGTTTCATAACTTTCACATTATTTTCTACAATCTTCTTGCAGATAAGGCACTGAAAAATTATACATTTCTCAAGTTAATTCTATCATATTCAATTATTTTATTAAAAAAATTTTTCATTGCAATTTGAAATTGAGTAATGCAATTTATAAATTTTAAATTTTCATGTTTGTTAGGATTTTGTTTATTTTACATACAAAAATTGTTATATTATATTAACTTATCTGATTATGGCCCTGGGGTGATGTGAATTTCTATATAATTAATCTTTCAACACTTGAATCTATGTATTTTATCTGACAATCATATATTCTATTATAAAAATAATATGATTGAGATGTTATTTTAAAATAAACAAATTTTTTTATTCAATTTATTTAAACTATGGTAATGTTTGAAAATAATTATCATATATACATAAATTATATTTTCCTTATTTGAATCTGGGTGTCTTATAGAACTGTTCCAAAGCAAATACTTGGAAATTATGAAATTATTATATATATTATTCAATAAAATAAGAAAATGAAACTATAATAGATGCAGATAAAAATCTATAAATTTCAATACGACAGAAAACTTCCAAGATCAAATCCAGACAAGTAAAAAAACCAGTAATTTTTTGGGGATGGTTGGTCAGTCAAGATATGTCAGGCTCCATCCCTCACCACCCAGCTCTTCCATTGTGGGCCTGGCTAAAGCCATAATTGGCTTGCTAAAAAGGCTCTCATAGGGTCCACAGAGCTGAAGGAGTTAAATAGTTTATCCAAGATATTATTTATTACAGTGTTATTTTCAAAACTTTCTTGGAATTTTTAAAATATACTTGCTTGGGAACAGATCAGTGAAAAAAATCCAGTAATATATGTCAAAATATATTTATAAAAAAAATAAATAGTTTATTATTCTAAAAACTGTAAAAATGAATTATCTAAAAGATCTAGGTACAAGAAATTAATTGTAATACTGTTTAAATATTTATGATTTAAAAACAAAAAATAAACATTGTAATTTAACAGAAAAAAGTCAAAATTTGGTTTAAAAAAAAGTAAAATTACAATGCTTACTTACTTATCAGAGAAAAGAGAGGTTTAAAAAAAGTAATTTACAAGTAAAACATTCAACATGAATACATGCAAAAGATACTTAGCTACAGCAAAGAATACTGACAATAATAATAATAATAATGATGATGATATGTTTAATTAAAGAATAACATTTTTATTCAAGAGTTTGACAGGGTAAAGATTACCTGTAGCCTACTGAAAGCCATTTTGGGAATTCATTAGCCTACGGGAAATCTCAACTTCACACACAAGATGTAGGATGATTTTTTTAAGACTTCTTTTGGCATCTTAAAAGTTGCATCTTATGCCATAAAGTATATTTACAAGAAATAAAATATTAGAGGCATGTACTGTATTGTATAGTTGGCATATATTTCAGAAGTTCTGCTAACATATAAAATCAGAAATGAACATATTATTTGAGTTTGATTTAGAAATGTTACAAAGAAGTGCAGACAGTTTTTTCGGAATAATTATGAATGCAAGCATAATTAGCAATAATATTTTTCAAGGGTAATCCTTTAAATGGATAATAAAGAACAAAGATATTGAGTAAAAAGTGAGTTAATACAATTTAATTTCAAATATAATATTAATTAATCTTACTCATATTCAAATTGTCTAAATTACCTAAATTTAATAAAACAGTAAAATTAATTTAATAGTTAAATTATTTATTCCTAGAAACAAGTAACTACTACTAGCATATATAATATTAAAAATTAATTTTACATGTTATTTTTGGTAGTAAAATGAAAACTAAGTTGTAACCATACATAAAAATAAACTTTAAGTATAACAATAATTTATATATTTTTATTAATTAATTAAATACAGTGAAGTCTCGATAGTTTTACGTTCCATATAGTTCAAGGCACTACCATCCTTAATCTGAAGTAATGGTACTCAACCAGATCACATAAAAATTATGTTTGGGTAATTCAAATCAAGTGTGTGATGAGACACACTTAATTACGTATAATAATTATAATTAAAATTATAATTATTATATATAATAATTATAATTTTAATTATAATTATTATACGTAATTAAGTGTGTCTCATCACACACTTGATTTGAATTACCCAAACATAATTTTTATGTGATCTGGTTGAGTACCATTACTTCAGATTAAGGATGGTAGTGCCTTGAACTATATGGAACGTAAAACTATCGAGACTTCACTGTATTTAATTAATTAATAAAAATATATAAATTATTGTTATACTTAAAGTTTATTTTTATGTATGGTTACAACTTAGTTTTCATTTTACTACCAAAAATAACATGTAAAATTAATTTTTAATATTATATATGCTAGTAGTAGTTACTTGTTTCTAGGAATAAATAATTTAACTATTAAATTAATTTTACTGTTTTATTAAATTTAGGTAATTTAGACAATTTGAATATGAGTAAGATTAATTAATATTATATTTGAAATTAAATTGTATTAACTCACTTTTTACTCAATATCTTTGTTCTTTATTATCCATTTAAAGGATTACCCTTGAAAAATATTATTGCTAATTATGCTTGCATTCATAATTATTCCGAAAAAACTGTCTGCACTTCTTTGTAACATTTCTAAATCAAACTCAAATAATATGTTCATTTCTGATTTTATATGTTAGCAGAACTTCTGAAATATATGCCAACTATACAATACAGTACATGCCTCTAATATTTTATTTCTTGTAAATATACTTTATGGCATAAGATGCAACTTTTAAGATGCCAAAAGAAGTCTTAAAAAAATCATCCTACATCTTGTGTGTGAAGTTGAGATTTCCCGTAGGCTAATGAATTCCCAAAATGGCTTTCAGTAGGCTACAGGTAATCTTTACCCTGTCAAACTCTTGAATAAAAATGTTATTCTTTAATTAAACATATCATCATCATTATTATTATTATTATTGTCAGTATTCTTTGCTGTAGCTANATATTTGTAAGTAAGCCTTGAAATATATATATATATTTCAAGGTTTACTTACAAATATTTATATGGTATTAAACATCTACATTTAGAATAATAAATATCAATTTATACTTTAATATTTTTAGCACATCTTTTAAATATTTCTGTCATTTTTTTTAATTTTACATAAATTTATATAAAATTGTATTTCTGAAATCTTGAGATATATTTATAATTATAAATGAAATTTATAATCTAATTATCAACTCTATAGACTTGGTTTCTAGTCATAGTAATGCTCATATAATAAAATAAGATAATAAAACAGGGTTTTCCAAAATAAAAAACTGCTACCATTTTAAATTACTGTAATTACGTTAATTTATTCTGTGAATATTGCAATATGCATTAAAACATTGGAAAACTCCAAATTTCACATTTGTCCATAACAATTTCTCAATGCATGCACCTCATGCATTGTGTATGGCACACAATCAATCAATACTCAGATTCTTCTTATGCTCAATATAACATATATGTTGATATTCCTCCCACAGCAGCCAAAATTCTATGACTCCCGCAGATTAATTGTGTTGCACAATGATGAGAGATTCCAATTTTGCAAACTGCAGAATACAAAATACATTCTCTATTGTGAGGTTGCCATTTTTGTTTACAGCACTTCTAAGAGGCGGTATACAACACATCGTTTGACTGTGAATAGGAGATGAACAGCTATTCTGTCGATTGATGTACTTCAAATACTTCTCAGATAATAACTGATATAATTACTGTAATCTAAACTGGTAGCATTCATTTTGGAAAACCCTGTATAAAACCCTAAACCTAAAATTGTAGAAAATGAACCTAAAAAAGAAAACCTAAAATGTAATTTTAGAGAAGTCATCCATACAAAACTATTATTAATATGAAATTTTAATTATCTTAGCATAATTTAACATGATCTGTTTAAAACAGCTAAATTACATTTAAATTAGTAGTTACATCAAAAATACTTATCTATTACAGACACAAGACAATTTTTCATAAACACTAAAATTTATTAGAGGTATTTTACCGTTATATCAACATTTTCAATAATTTATTTTTAATATATGTTTTTAGGATAAAATATCATCTAAAACTCAAACTTTTTTAAATCAAAAATTACATATACCAAAACATTAACATTTTTTACTTTCTATTAGTTTATCATTTAAAAGTTCTATAGTCTGTTCAACAAAAATGAGCTTTTCAAAGTTGTTTTTGATGAACAATTAGTTATATTCCTAGAAAAACTCACATAGGGTGAGAATTGCCAAACTTACAATAACCATGAACACATTGAGTCTTTACCTAACATTTTGAATAAAATACAGTAAATAAGTAAATAGACATCCTTATTTCACAGTACACAAATGCCACATATGCATATTAAAATGTATTTGTCTCACCACGGTTTTTTTTCAAAGTCTTAACCTAGTCAAGCATAGAATCAATGAGTTCTGCTATCCTGGCCTAGATTATTGGTCCACTTGGCAAACAAACAATCTGAAAGTTCTATATGGAAAGTCGGTTGTCATAAATATTGTTGCATTGCACTATCCAGCAAATTCCAGACATGCTCGATGGGATTTATATCAGATGATTGACTGGCCCATGGAAGTTTGCTGATGATTTGTGTTGCCAGCCAATTTCAGGTCATTTTGATAATGTGACAAGCTCTGTCCTCCATTAACAGAATAAATGTTTTATCCATCAACCACAGGAGAATATTGGAAGAAGAGCAAACATTTACTATTACATTTACATAAATTTCATACATTGACTGACATTCAGGATAGACTATCTATTTACTTATGGATTGTCTATGTATATATAATCAATCAGTCAAAACTTTATACTGGTATATTAGTTTCAACAGATTGATTAATATATAATTATAAAATGTAAAAATTCTAAATATTTAATATTAATAAAATTTAAGCCTTAACAAAAATATTTATTTATTTATAACATTTCTTTATTGTAGTTTACATTTGAAACTTTATTTTTAACAGACTTTTATTGATTCGGTTACTCTTTATCAAAAATTTAAGTCCTGAAAAGGACTGTTAAAATAGTCTGTAAAAAACTTTTTTAAAAGCACAGTCAAAACTTAGAACATGTCAGGAATATCCATTACTTTGAGTTCATCTTCACTACTACAGAATGCTGCATCTCCAGAAACAGTAATAATAAAAGGCATGGTATGTTATATTGGGAATCTGATCATTTGATAGATCTATTTAATGTTTAGTAAATGTTTCACTGCATGTCTTCAGTTACAAGTTGCAACACTTGATGGAAGCTAACTTTAATTTAAGATATCGAACAAGAAAGTTTATTTAAGTTTCCTAAGTTGATTCTTTTACTTGTCCCCATATTAACTTTATTAAATTCAAATCACAATGATAAGGTGATCTTAAAATAATATATCCTCAAGACTTTGCTAACTTTTTGGTTTCATGAATCTTTTTACTTTATTATTAATACACTTCTCAAAAGTGAAATTGCAACACCACAAAAAATGCATGTAGTCATAGGCACATTGCAGGACTGGTAGAGGTGACAGAGATATGCAAATGATTAAAAGAACAAGCAAAAATATGCAAAAGACACTTATTTATTCAGTAACAAAGATGGCCCCCATGGGCATCTGTAGTGAATGCTAATAGGTGAGGCATACTATCAATAAGGCAATTAATGGTTGTTTGAGGTATCCCTTGCCAAGCTGTATCCACTGTGGCATGCATGTTATCTATGGTATGTGGTAGTGGTCCCTGGTGCACCTTACATCAGATGAGGTCCCAGAGGTGTTTGATAGGAGAGAGAGCCAGTGAGGCTGCCAGCCAGGAAAGGATGTAAATTCTGTTCAGGATGGTGAGAGTTTGCCTTGCAACATGTAGTCAAGCACTGTCTTGCTGGAATACNGCTATGCAATTTTGAAACTTTCTTTTTAGATTTCTTCTTCTTTTGCTTACCTGAAAATAAATCATATATGATATTAATAAAAACAATTTTAAAATGTTCTCATAATAAAAAATTATGTATGCCTTAACCAAAATAATTAATTTTAATGACATTATTATCTAATTAATAAATTTTTTGGTTGTCCTTTATAGCTTTTAAAGAATTATTTTGAAACTGTATTTGTAAAAATTTGAACATTTAATTAATTTACTGTTATAAATAAGTAAATATATGTGCCCATCAGTGGCCAAGTGGATAAAACCATTAAAAACTGGTAGTTGATCCTGTGTTGTGCCTTGTTGACAGGCTGACCACACATTAACTTCACATTAGAAACATCTAAAAAGGTTTACTTCACATTATAAACACCTAAAAAGGTTTACTTCACATTAGAAACATCTAAAAAGGGCCATCAATTTCTTGTAGAAAGTCCTCCTGGGAGTTATCCCCCTCAGCAGATAACTCAAGTTTGATGTTGCTGAAAACAAATAAATCAAACCAAACCAATTAAATATTCTAACACAAAAAGACGGAGAGACGATCGCGCAGGCATGGAGATATCTATTCGAGGAATTCGAAAGGGGACAAGCAGAGAGGTGAAACGTGATACTTGCAATATTTACAACTTGGACAACATTGTTCTAATGGTCGAGGGGAGACACCGCTTAGTCAGCACCTGAAGATGGAATACCATATCCACAGACCCCACAATTTGAAATGTACTGGTCCACTGTCAGAATACTGGAAATGTGCACCAGGTCTGTCTGCTGATTGACCGTGACACCTCTACAAACCATGATGTTTAGTGTGGGGCCAGTACACTGAATATTGCAGTATTCAGAATACTGGCACATCTGTCCACAGCTGTCATTCCTCCAAAGACAGAAGCAGGGTTCATCTGTAAATAATATCCAATGCCATTCAGTGGTCAAGTTGTGATGATGACGACACCATGCCAGATATACAAGAGAAGTTGCGGCCGACGCTTCCAACGCAAAAATGTGTACGTCGGACATTCAGCGCCGCCGCTCATATAATAAAATAAGATAATAAAACAGGGTTTTCCAAAATAAAAAACTGCTACCATTTTAAATTACTGTAATTACGTTAATTTATTCTGTGNTCTGCTGATTGACCGTGACACCTCTACAAACCATGATGTTTAGTGTGGGGCCAGTACACTGAATATTGCAGTATTCAGAATACTGGCACATCTGTCCACAGCTGTCATTCCTCCAAAGACAGAAGCAGGGTTCATCTGTAAATAATATCCAATGCCATTCAGTGGTCAAGTTGTGATGATGACGACACCATGCCAGATATACAAGAGAAGTTGCGGCCGACGCTTCCAACGCAAAAACGTGTACGTCGGACATTCAGCGCCGCCTTCTTATAGGCTTAGAGGTTTGACAATGGCATTTAGAATGTCAAGCATGATTCCACTGACGTTCCAAACGCCATTGTGAAACTTCTAAGCCTATAAGACGGCGGCGCTGAACTTCCGACGTACACGTTTTTGCGTTGAAAACGTCGGCCACAACCTCTCTACAGTTCTGTGTCAAACAGTTAATGGCATGCCTGTTGCTGATTGCCAAGCATGCAGCCTTATGCAATCTGTTGTGAATGGTTTGGTTAAACACAGATGCACCCATTGATGGCAAAAGGTGGCTTCAGACGTCGTGCTGTGGTAAACAGATTTTGACAGGATGTCAGCAAATCTGCTATTCTGTGCACTCTGTTGTGCACAAGTGTGATCCATTCCCTCTTAGGCATGTTGACAGATGTTCCTGTGTTCATCATGTCACACTATGCCTAACATGCATTGCAACTGTGCACATCAACAAACTGAGGTCACACAGCTCCAAGATATGGTGTCCTTCCCCAGCTGTTAACTGGTGGTATTCAGCTCAGTGTTATCTCTGAGGCATTTTCTATGCTTCTTTGAAAGTTCAGCTTATGCAAACCATCACTGATAGCATTTCCAACCTGAGCTAGCTGCTGGTCTTTAGAGCTCAAAACTGGGTACTACATGACCCAATGTGTATGCAAACTTGACCATTTGCATATTTCTGTCTTCTCTACTAATCCTGCAATTTCACTTTTGAGGAGTGTAATAATGATAAATCTGTTTTAAGCATGTTCAGAGGAATGAGCAATTCCTTTTTTTTATTTAACATTTTCAGATTTTCTTGATTTCCAAACTTTAATTCTTTTCAGTATATTATACACGATTATTACTTATATCTGGAATATTATGTGATAACTCTTCAAACCATCTGCGCAAGCTAATACTATCAATTTCATTGCAACAATTAGAGGAGTTTATTTTAGAGTGAAACAAAAGTAGGTTGTTTGGTAAAAGTCCCATTATACTTCCAGAATGTTCTAAAATTAAATGTCAACTTTGGCATTTAATTTTAGAACATTCTGACATCCTAGTTGGAATTTGGCATCCACAAATAAAACTGTCATCATTTCACTGTTTAGTTTCACCATGATGTTCATTTACTTGAGTTTCATCTAAATAAATAAATGGTGTATCCAATAATTCTAGTCTATATTGTCTTATTTGGCATAAATAACTGTCAGAATAAAATTTCTATACTCTTTTTTCTCATATTTTAGTTAGAGAGTTTTTGTTAAAATATAATTTGGTGATGACCTACTTCCCACAAAGGAAATCTTTTTATTTAACTTTTTGTTAAAAGAATCAAGTGTTGGATAACTATCTTCATTAAAAACTTCCAATTTAATTGCATGAACAACTGGCAAATCAAAATCATTCAAATCTGTGACCGATAATTTCCACGTTCTTTTCTTTCCAGGAGTTGAAAATTTCTTGGATGAATTTGGTTTGGAAACATTGCCAACCTTAATGTCCTTATTTTTGGTAATATACTAAACTTTTGACTGTTGATGCAGATTAACCAGTGCATTTTGATGTTTTGTTAATAGTATTACTGCAGATGTTATTTTGATGACTAAAGTTATTACGAACATTTAAAATGATAGCCCTAGCTTGACTGTGCAATGTTTCATTTTGCTTACAGACATGATTCTTACTTTCTACCGTATCAAATTGAGATTTATTTTATATCAATTAAACTAAAATTTCTGCATTATGTTTTCTAAATAATTATTGGGTGAATGACAAAATGTAGCATTGTAATTGGTTGCTCCAACCACTACAATCCATCAGGCTATTATCATATAAAGCAGCTCATCTTTTGTTGGAAAGACTACAAGTTATTATTTATAAAGAATATATACTAATTCTGTAAACATGAAAGATTATATAAAATTTGAATATAAAAATATATGACCCTAAAGCAATAAGAAAAAAATAAAATTTATTTATTTATATATTCTTTTTATAATATACCTTAAACTGAAAAACTCCTTTATGTTCAGCTTTAACCAATTTTTTATTTGGATTTTTACGAGCATAATAGAACTCTTCCAATGCAATTACTTCTTCTTCATCTGAAATATGGATTATACTTTTTACTTTTTTAAATGCATAGTTTATTATTTGAACATATAAATAAGATATATTAATTCACATAAATTAGATTAAATTAAAATATATTTTTAATAGATAATAATAGATAGATTCATAAAATATATATATTACTGAAATACAATAGAGCATTGATTATCTGAATAATGATCAACCAAAACATCAGTTAACTGAAAGTGTTTCAACAAATTTCAATATGGGATAGGTTAATATATTTTTTCGTACATAATCAGTTATCCAGAAAATCGATTATCCGAACAACCCCAGTCACAAATTGTTTCGGATAATCGATGCTCTACTGAACTTTTGTTTTCAGAAAGAATTAGCTTTCAGACATTTTTATTTGATGTTTTCAGCATTTTATCTAAATATGATATACACTAGAGTTGCTAATATGATCATTCCTTGTAGAGGGCTGCCAGATTAGCAAGAGTGCTGGATTACTGAGTATGTACAGACCTAAAATTCTGCCTAAAGGAAATAAACAACATGATCTGCAGCCCTTCAGTACTGATTCTTTTTGGAGGAAGCCACATACAATAATATAACATATTGATATGAATACTGTATACAAAAATGAAACAGGATATGTGACATGACTAACATTTTCATATAAACCAAAGTGTACAGCTAATCACACTAGGGGTTAAATACTTATTTAAATATTAAATGAAAGGATTTATCAAAAGTTAATCATTATAATTATAACTGTTCATAAGTTGTAACCAATTAAATTTAAACCATCAAATAAAGAAAAGGTAAACTGCATAAATCACGTATAAATTTGTACATTTTGATTATGTACAGTTTTCTCCGTTTATGTAATTGTTAACTATGATATTACGAATAAAACACATCTTTAATAATCCAGCTAATAAAAATTAATAAAGTAAAAATGTTTTTGATCGTTTCTTAATGATCTTCTTCAGTTACCATAACATAGAATAAATCAAACACAAAAAAGAACGTAAATACAAAATTAAAATATAAATAACGGAAAAGTAGCTGTGCTGATAAAAGAAACAAAAAATAAACAAAAAATATAAACTAAGCTGAAAAAATGTCCCTTAATAAAAATAAATAGTCATTAATTCCTGTAAAAGGATCGCCAAGCTGTAGGTACGAGGGCTGTTCGGAAAGTTCGCGGCCTCAAATAGAACAACAAACAAAATAATGTTAAAACTTTTTTTATTTTTCAATATAGTCTCCTTTGTTAGCAATGCACTTATTCCAGCAATGTTCTAGCTTTTTTATGCCATCACAATAGGTCAATTTGTCAAGGTGTGCAAAATACTCGTTCACTTCAGAGATGACTTCGTCATTTGAGTGGAATCTCTTTCCAGCCAAGAATTTTTTTA